TCTCAAATAAATAAATAAAATCTTAAAAAAAAAAAAAAAACATAGGCATAAATCCTCATGACTATTCATCAGGCAATGGTTTCTTAGACATGAAGCCAAAAGCACAATCAACAAAAGAAAAAATAGACGAGGGCGCTTAAGCATCTGCCTTTGGCTCAGGTCATGATCCCAGGGTCCTGGGATCAAGCCACGCATCGGGCTCCCTGCTCAGCGGGAAGCCTGCTTCTCCCTCTCTCACTCCCCCTGCTTGTGTTCCTGCTCTCGCTGTGTCTCTCGCTGTCAAATAAAGAAATAAAATCTTAAAAAAAAAAAAAGAAAAAATAGATGAATTGGATTCATTAAAATTAAAAACCTTTATGCTTCAAAGAACACAACAAAAGTGAAAAGACAATCCACTGAATGGAAGAAAATTTTTGTAAATCCTGTATCTGATAAGGAACTTGTATATAGAATATCTAAAGAATTCTTACAACAATAAAAGACATAATTCTTACACAATAAAAAGACAACCCATTTTTAAAAATGGGAAAAAGATCTGAATACAAAAAGCAGATACACAAATGGACAATAAGCACATGGAAAGATGCTCAACATGACTAGTCATTAAGGACCTAGAAATGGAAACCACAATGAGATACCATTTCACACTCAGCAGGATGACTATAATCAAAGAGACAGATAATATCAAGTGTTGGCAAGAATGTTGAGAAATGGAAACCCTCCTCTATTGCTGGTAGGGTTTTAAATGCTGTAGCCAAATTGGAAAAATACTGTGGCAGTTTTCAAAATGTTAAAAAGAGTTAGCATCTTACCTAGCAATTGCATGCCATGCCAAGGTGTATACACACACATCCAAGAGAAATTAAAACAGACATCTACACAAAACTTATACATGAGTGTTCAAAGCAACATTATTCACAATAGCCGAAAAGTGGAAACTCAAATGTCTGCCAAGTGATTAATGGATAAATAAAATGTGACATATCCATACAAAATTATATCACTCGGCCATAAAAAGAAATACTATGTATGTTACAAAGTGTATGAACTTGAAGACAAGTCCACCAACTCATGAATGGGTAAATAAAGTCTGCTACATCCATTTGATGAAGTACCACTCAGCAATAAAACGGATGGAGAAGCAACACACACTACAACACCTTGAACCTTGAAAACCTCATGCTAAGTGAAAGAAGCCAGACACAAAAGACCACATATTGTATGAGTCCATTTGTCTGAAATGTTCAGGATAGGCAAATCAATAGAGGCAGAAAGTCGATCAGAGTTGCCAGGGGCTCAGATTGGGGGGTGGGGTGGGAGGGAGGGGGACAGGAGTGACTGCTAATGGGTATGAAGTCTCTTTGGGGGGTAATGAAAATGTTCTAAAATTGATTGTGTTAATGGTTGCACAACTCTGCACATATACTAAAGTCCACTAAATTGTAAACTTTAGGGGTGACTGGGTGGCACAGTCATTAAGCAACTGCCTTCAGCTCAGGTCCTGATCCCAGAGTCCTGGGATTGAGCCCCGCATTGGGCTCCCTGCTCCGTGGGAAGCCTGCTTCTCCCTCTCCCTCTCCCCCTGCTTGTGTTCCCTCTCTCGCTGTCTCTCTCTCTGTCAGATAAATAAAATCTTAACTTTAAATGGGTAAAATATATGGTATATTAGATCTCAATAAAGCTGTTAAAAATGAGGCAATCCTTATCAAAAGCACTATTATGAAAGGTACAGAACAGTATTACAGTTTGCTGCCATTTGTGTAAGAAATAACAAACAAGGGAAGAACAGGTAAACATTTGGTTGTACATACATGAAATAGCTCTAGAAGGATCTTTTCACTATATGCCCTTTCACATTTTTTGGAATTCCAAACCATGTAAATATATTGCCTCTTTTTTTTT